TATACTATCCTTCATTAGAGATATTCTATCACAAGAAGTGGTTAGACTTGAAAATGGTATATACACAATATAACCCCTCGGATATGGGCACTAAGGTGCTGCTATTGGTGAAGTTTAGGATTTGCAAAGAGCTTCTAAACATCGATGAAGGTAATTAATTCCAATTTTATCGGTTCTCATTTTTTAGAATTGTTACTAATTAGTGATAATATTTTTCCTCGCAAATAGGTCTTTGACACGAAGGTGGAGATTTGTCAGGCAAATTGTTGTAAACGACCTCCTCGAGCAACGATGTTAGATCGTCAGTACTCAGTCGGTATCGACCAAATGACTGAAATAAAATATCAACACCTCAAATGGAACAACCTAAGTCTATAAATATTGTGGGCCATTAGAAGTGGGGTAATTCAATTAGAGTTGCTTGTGGCCCGACTCCTAACTCCTTAGACGGCTTTAGGTACTTAACACACTTATTAATTAGGGAAAATTTCATTTCCAAGAGATTAAGTATCACCTATTTCAAAACTAAGAAAACAACTTTCAAATTTCAAAAATCAGATTTTTTTAAAATTTTTATTTATGAAATAATAAATTATTAAATCAATTTATTATTAAATATTTAATTCTAATATAATATAACTAACCCATCCCACCTTTACCACCCCACCACTCCGGCGACTGTTCTGGTCACCACTCTACTCCGACAAATTTTTCGGCGACTATTTCGACGACTTTTCCGATGAACTTTCAGGCAATCCGGTGAACTTTTTCGCTGACTTCCCGACGACTGTTTTGGCGATCTTTTCGCAACTTTCCTGGTGACTTTTTCGATTTCGACAATTATTTATTTTATTAAAAAAATATAATGCTGTTACAGTTATACAATTAATGATCACATATACATAATTAATTGGTCACAGATTATTTTTGAGGTCGCAAATCAAAAAAATTATAGGTCACAATTTTTTTATTGGCCACAGATCAAAAATTTTGTAGGTTACAGATTAGTTTGAGGTCACAAATCAGGTCACATATTATTTCATTGGTCACGGATCAAAAAATTACAGGTCACAGTTATCTTTAAGTCACATATTTTCAAATTTATTGGTGACAAATTAATTTTTAGTCACAATTTTAAGGTTACAGCTAGATTTTTTTGTGACCACCGCCGATTTCAGTGACCACCACCGACTTCTGTGATCATCACCGACTTCTGTGACACCCCCGTAACCACCACCGTCATTGTTTCCAGAACCAACAGCACCATCTCCGTGATCGCCACCGACTTCTGTGACTACCCCCGTGACCACCACCTCACCACTGCCACATGTCGTATCCCTGTCCCTGCCACCACCACTAACATCGACACCGTTACCACCAAAAATACGACAGCACCCCACCACGACCTCGCGATCTGAAAACCACAAAGAGAAGGAAACAAAAATCAAATATTCGGCACCACACCACCACCACAAAACTACCCCTGCCACCACCAAACCCCCCACCACCACATCACCATGCCACTGTTCACAACCTATAGCACACCACCACCATATCCTCCTTCTCCGTTTACACCACCAACTATACAGCCACCACATAGGTTTCAGATCCTGCGGAGGCAAAGATCAACAATCTCTTTGCCAATGGTGTACAGCCCCCTAGCAAAGTTGTTGGCAGCATTGTCCTTACCAGTGAGCAGCTATTCTGGGTAATAGCTGGTAGTATGTCCTTGTACGGACCTCATCTATCACAGTAGTC